GTTAAGTTAAAGGCCCAAAACACCCAATAGGTGAGCACGTGGGTTTAGGATGGTACTGGTGTAGGTTGATACTCGGGGGAGGTGTAGATGATCCTTAGTCACTTGGACCCGCAGTAACTCAGTGACAACAGCAGCAGTAGTAGCTGCAGTGGTGAGGCAGTAATTGGTTTGCTGTTGCTGCTGCTGTTGGTGGCATGTTTTTGCGGTTGCTGGTTCTGGTCGAGGTGATTGTCGTGATGCTGCTGATGGCGATGGCAGAGGTGAGTTTCGCTGCGCTCGCTGCGGAGCCGAGCGCGAACGCAATCAGCGCTTTCTGAACCAAGCCTGAAGAGCTGTCGTAGCGCTATCCTCCTCACGATAACGCTACGACAGCTGTCGGGAGCAGCAGCAGCCTCACCATCACCGTCATCATCACCGCCACCAACATCATCATGATCATCATCAGCAGCTTCATCACCATCACCGCCGCCATCATTATGCTCATCGTCGTCATCATCATCATCATCATCATCATCATCAAGCACATCATCGCCACCGTCACTATTATCATCAACATCAACGGCGTCACCACGGCAATCATCAAGTCGCCATTGTCATCACCGTTTCCGACTCCAATAACAACGGCTACAGGAGAATCAGTGTCATCATGATGCGTCTAACGAACCACATCATCACCTCATCGCCAGCAGAAGAAGCAGAAGCTTAAGCTTCGTAACGTTCATCTTGCCATTAGAATACTGCGAATCAGCGACAAGCCAAATCATCACATAAGTACGCTGAAGTTGATATTCGCCATCATCACAAGACTGAAGTGAAGCACTATAGCCAGTGCCGCAAGGCAAAGCACAAGCACACCGAGCACATAGGACTTCACCAACATGCACCTAAGTACAAGACACGCAGATATCCACTGAAGACAAACGACAAAATCATATTCATGAGTTGGAGCATGGTAACAGAAACAGGCAAGCACTGATTAATCGCATGCTTATGCGGACGGGTGACGTTGCAAATGGGCAGGGCCGGAACACAACAGGATGTCTTCGACTTCTGCAGAATTTTCCTGTGGCGCAGTCGTCGAAGGCTCGCGGGATTCGACGTAAGGATGCTCTTACTCTTGGGGTGCTGATATTCAGGATCTTCGAAGCTTACGGTTCAGCTCACATGGGGGCCTCAATAATTAGAAGAGGGTGTTGGGGCCCCTTATAGTGTCATTATCATCAGGAACCCCACAATAAGTATTAGCAATGTACCCTAACCCTCCAGGCACCTACTATATAGGGCCTTAGGGGCTCTAGTACCCTATATGGTAGGTACCTGGGGGGTTAGGGATAGGTAATTATTGAGGCCCCTACAGTACTT